TCTCAATTAGGTTTTAAAATTTATTTGTCCTTTAAACACATTTTTTCAGAAAAAAATTGTTGTTCAAAACAAACAAACGGAACAGGAGTCTCCTTTGGAAGAACGTCAGTTGAATTTGGTTTGAAGTCTATAAAAAAAAAACTGAGGAAAACAACATTTTTTGGTCGTACCAATGTGGAAAATACGTATGTAAAACCTACATGCCTTCCGCTATCAGGGAAAGCACCGAAGATTTTCTTCAATAGATAATTTTTGTGACACTTTGTTAGGCGCACCCTAATATGATATTACTTATTTGTATCTAGTATTTGTTACATGTGTGATTTCTAATATTTCTTGTTTTGTAATTTTGCTGTCGGACATGCATATTTATGTGCATATAAGGTAGCATAAATGATTTCCTAGGTAGGTGTAGGTTTTCAGATGTTGACAGCTTTGTATAAACATGTTAATCATAGAATTAACTGTAATTTAATTAGTAAGTATGTATGTAATTGCATTTGACTGATGGGAACAAGAATTATAAAAAAGTCCTATTCTTTACGTGTTGGTGTATGCGAGTTTTAGTAAATGCTACCTGATAGTTGCTTCCAGTAAAAGAGCTAATATTGAAAAAAAAAATCTTGTAAACGGGCCTTTGGAACAAAGACAATTTTATTTTAATGAAAATTTTTGTACATAGTTTTGTGCAATGTATGCGAGGATCATTTATGGATGAACTCATAATACAATTATACATAAGTACATATGACAAGGATGACAAATAGAAATGTCATATAATAACAAAAAATAAATTTACTTTAAAAAAATCTACAACATTAGTTTGCAGTTTGTATACACTTGGGCCCAGCTGATTAAGTTAAGAGACTTTTTGACCAGTTTTCGTTATTTTTCTTTTGTTTTTTTTTTATCGTTTATATTTTTTTTTTTATAAAAGTCTAACACATTACATAACCAGCACCACATAAATCCACATTTCAAACTTCTTACAAATATTGTAACAATTAAACAAACTTTAAAAATAACACAAATGTTTCACTATTTATTATTATTTTTTGTTTAATTTAAAATTTTTTTTAAATTAAATTTTTGTTTTTAAACTCAGTTTTATAGCCTATTAAATTTCAGTAGGTTAAAGTGCAAATCTTGAAACTCTTGAAAATCCCCTTGATTTTTAATAATTTTTTCCGCTGACTGTGTTATGCGTCTTCTTTCATATACAAGAAACTGTCCAGCATACTTTATATGGAAGAAAATGCCTAGCACCGTCAACAAAAACAAAAATATTTAAAATCAACGCGATTTTCTGGCGTTTTGAAATTTACACTTTAACCTACTAATGGGCTGTAAAACTGCACACAGAAAATTTTTTAAAGTTTTTTGAATTTTCTTAATTTTTTACGAAGTTTGGAAGGTGGAATCATGTTGTGTTTGTTATCAAATGTGCTAGACATTTAAAAAAAAAAAATTATAAACATAAAAAAAATAGCCAAAAACTCGTTAATCAGCTGACCTCAAGTGTATACATATAAATTTATGGCCGTATTTCTTCGTACTTTCATATATTGCTTAACTCTGCGCATTTTTTATCTGCTTTTTTATTAATAAGGCTTCAATAGATTCTTTTTGTACTTTTAGATTTTAAAATTTAGAGCAAAAACAATTGTTTGACAACTTATATTATAAATTTGGGTCTCTTCTGTTATAAAATTCAATAAAATATTATAAGTCTTTACAATTAAAATAAGACATAGAACGGAGCATTTTTTTAACTGTAAATTTTCAGTAAACAGTTTTTTCCAACTTAAAAATTGTCTATAAAAAACTTGTTCCAACGAAAAATGCATGATCTTGAGCACATTATTTTTGCGCAGAACACCTTTATGCATTGGCAGATTTTGGCCGCGCTTCAAAAAAATAACGCTCATCAGTCTAACTCCGCCAATGCTGCCCGCAGTATTTTTGCGCACAACTCCTTTAAGAAACAGTTTATGGACAGTTTTTTTCACTTTGTCCATCCAACGCTCCTAATAACAAAAAAGGTATAACAAAAACGAGCAGAAATTTTTGGAATAATCGATGGTCAATGTTGAAAAATTAAGAAAAAAAACTAAGTATATATCCAACATATTATTTAAGTTTTTCCCAGTGTAAATTTTACCGATCCCAGCGTTGATGATTTTTATTGCCTAAATGTAGACTTTGATTTTGTGACAGCTTTGTTATAAATTCTGCCAATTGCTGCATTTGAGATGCCTAAATGTATGCAATGTATTTGCATGCAATGTTTTCAGCATTTATGTATGTATGTAGTTATGTCACATGAACACCAGCTGCATTGATGTGATGTGATGATATGGAAGTCAGCACATTCATATATGCATTTTTAATTGAATTTTATTACTGTGCTCGCAAGAAATAGCAGATTACGTTTGTTTATTGATACACACTTGGACCGGAAGTTGCTTTATGATACCGTATTGGCTCAAAGTGCCGAATGAGCTCCCAGAAGTAGAACCATTTTTTTTAAAAGATTATGTCGTCTGCAAGACTGTTAAAAAAGTTGTCAGTCTCCGAAAATAGCAGAAAGAGTGACCTATGCTTCCGATTTCCTCTTCGCCACGTCAGCTTTGACAGAATAGGTTTATATGAAACCAAATTATTTTTGCGTATGTTGAAAGCGTTATATCTGCTTAAGAGAAGGCAATTGTGGCAGTAAGTCCTCGTCAATTCATCCACCTCACAGTCACTTGTATCCTGGAAGCCAAAACACCCTAGTAGTGTACTTGGATGACAGAACATTTAGAACTTGTCTATATTTGATAGCTGTTTTCGAGCTATTCGAGCAGAATTCTAAAGATTTAATAGCGGCTCGACTGTCGACAAAGTGATGACTTCTTATTGGTTTAGTGCTGATTACAGCTTAGATTTCAGTGCAGGGCACAGGCAATCAGCGCCTGCAAAATAGGCGAGTGATTATACTTCGTATAGAGCGCATAATCTTTCAAAATCAGCTTTTAAGCGTAATCACTTACTCTGTTCCCGTACTTCCGGACTTGGTGCAGGTGGACTCGTTAAAGAGATTCTTTATGTAAATGTAGTTATCTTATACACTGCACTGCAATAAATGCAAGCCGTATCCAGCGTTTTAAGTTTAGCCTCTGTCAGCCACAGGGCATCTTTCCTGACAGCTACCAATTTAGCTTCTCTCTGGCAGATTGAAGCCGCTAGTGCATGTGGGTGTAAAGTTGAGTTAAGCTTCTGAGACTGTAAAGCAATTTTCCAAACTGGAAATAGCTTTCGCGTAGTCTGCAAACTTGAACTTGGTTGGACAGATGTCTGGTGACCAGATCTTGTGTCCCTTAATTTTCCCAACAGTTTTGTTTGACTACGTAGTAACTTGCCTGTAGTTTGCCGTAAAGATCCAAAGGGAAGATATTAGGAACAATATCGAGTTTTCCTCTAATCTTCGATTTTTCTAAGGGCAAACCAGACAGAGACGATAACGAATATAATAGGGCAAACTGTAGCCGCACAGTAGTGCAAACGCGAAATTTACCATTCAATAAGGTCTGCAAACAACTCTCGATGGATTTTTAATTTTTTTTTTAACTGGCAGATAATTAAATCCTTACAAGATTTAAGGGATTCTCACTGTTTTCCGCAAATTTTATATGAAAAAAATGTTTGGTAGAAATGGTATAGAATTATTGAAAATCAATATTTTTCGATCGGAAAACTTTGTTTATCTTCAGGAGATTCCCAACAATAATACTCAATTATCTATTTAACCATTTTTTTATTGTAACTATATTTTGGCTGTATTTCTTTATTCATTCTGAACGTTTGGAATAAACTTTTTTGTTTACTTATTCTTTAGAACGTTCCTGATGATATGTTGACGTATATTTCAAACGCATTCTGTTTATTCCGGCTGTGGAATGGGATTATCCGGAATGTATAAAGAAACGCAGCCTTTATAAGTGCGCCAAAATCCCCAGAAAATGCATGGGGGTATAAATTAAAAATCTTTAGTATTAAAAATGGTTAAATAATTGGAAGTCTCCTGAGTTGAAACAGAGTTTTCCGATTGAAAAATATTGGTTTTCAAGAATTTTCTACCAATTCTGTGAAAAGTTTTTTCCCCCAATATAAAATACATGGAAAACTTTGAGCGCTTTGAGCGACCTCTAAATATTTTTTGATTTCAAAATAAAAAATTGAGGCATATTTTCTCCATAGTTTAAGCAAAATTTCAAACTTTATTCAAAATTAAGGAAAATTCTGCAAATTTTCATAAAACTTTTAAACTTTTTAATCTTAATCCTTAGACCATTTTTGAGTATGCAGTTTTATAGCCCATCAAAGTTTAGTGAAGTGAAGTGTAAGGTTCAGCCGACTTAAAAGTCGCATTAATTTTTAATATATATATATATTTTTTTGATGACGGTTTTTGCGTTTTTTTGAAATTTGCAAATGAAAAATTCCACCTGCAAAAAAAAATCATTAAAAATCAACGCTATATTTTAGCCGCTTGACACTTGGTTCCACTAAAATTTTAAAAATAAAAATAATTTTTCATTCTAAAGATTAAAAAGTTTGAAATTTTGAAGCAAGTATTCTTAATTTTTTGTATAATGTTTGAAACTTAAATATCGTTTAAATATGGCCGATAACACAACCAAAACCCAAAAAGCATGGAACAAAAATTCCTTCAGAAAATATATTTTGGAAGTCTTTCTGAGGAAAGCATTATTTCGTTAAAGATTTTTTAAGATAAAATTTTATATCAAAGCACAGAAAAAACTGCAAACTAACTGACTTGAGTAACACCTTTTCTTGAACAAATTTTTCTGGCACAAAATTCTTAAACTTTCAATAACTCATATTGGAACTTTATGAAGTACTTTATCGCGTAAGTCCTTTCGTTATGTCACACACACACACACACAATAAACACAAATAAATATTTTTTTTTTCAACTGTTTTCTTTACTCTTGTTATTTTTTTCATTTTGGTAGCTTAGACTAAGGACTAACAACTGATCACACTGATCTCACACCGTTTAACAATAACAACACCATGTTAATAGCAATCAGGGAAGTTGTTAGAGGTAGGACGACTAGGATCAGGATTGGTAGGAGGGGACAACAAAGTTTTTGGGGAATTTGTACGGATTTTTAAAACAAAAACAAATTAGGTAATTAGTAAGCAACTTAAGCTTCTGGGGCAACGGGCAAATGAGCGCCCTGAGGTTGGAAACCGTTCTCATCGGCGATGTAGTTGACGGTGTAGGTTACGCCATCATCACCAACGAAACTGTATGAGCCACGGACAGCAATGGCCTCGTTTTCGCTTCCGACATTGTTAAGGACGGCAGAGGCATCTTCCTTAATACCGTTGCTAGTCTCATAACTGCAAAAGAGAATAAGCAAAATATTAGTTTCGTTGTAATTCTAAATTTTTGGTAAAAAAAACTATGATTCTTTACAACGATTTGATATTGAAGAACTTACGCGTAGTTGAATCCATCGGCTTTCACGTCGGAGTCGAAACGCAGGACTTGCGCATCAGAATCGGCTGGGGCGGCGAAGGCGACAGCGAAGAGAGCAACAAAAACAATAACGAATTTCATTTTGTTTGATTTAAACTGTGGTTGCGCTTTGAGACTAGCAAATTGCGAATGATGACATGGAGAGGGCGATTGTTACAATTTATACTGTTTGGCATAGCTCAAACGATAGTAAAACGAGTTGAATTTAATTTTTCCTACTCATCTAAAATGCAAATATTTCACGCCTGCGCTAGCACAGTCGCTTCTACTGCCACTATAATTTTTTATAGTTTTTGAGATTTTTTTTTTTTACAATCAAAGCAACAAACTAACAACCTAACTAAAAATTAAATAATCAGGTAGTCAACGTTAGCATATATTTGTTGTTAGTTGGAGCGGTTAATAAGAATCAGCCACAAAAACTTGAATATGGAAATGAACGCAACGATTTACGCACTCATAAAGATGTATGTATGTATGTAAATATTTTTGCGTCCATTACAATACCAAGCGAGGTAGAAGGCAACATATGTAGCTTGGTTGTTGCTTGACCCCAATGGGGTGACAGAAACGCTGCGACGACAAGCTCAAGCTCTCAAGAATAGAGAGCGTTTGAAACGAAACAATTGCTGCAAGACGCGGGTAGAAAACGGGCGCTGGCAACTAGCCTAAGTAAACAAGAAGTTCAATAGCTTTTTAATGGGTTACTAATACACAGACACATATTTTCACTATTCGCAAATATAAACACCTAAACAGAAAGAAAAACCCATTGCGGATAATTTCTATTACTAAACCATTTATAGTTTAATCAATTTTAATAAATAGCTCCAATACACATTATGAAAATAGATTATTAGTATTTGCTAAAGAAATGAAAATTCCTGGAACGGTCTTTTAAATATGTACACTCATGGCAAAAAGTATTGGCAAACATTTTTATTTTTTTCGCAAATTTTTTATAAAAAATGGTTCCTACTACAAAAAAAAACACATAACAATATAATCTCTAAACTAAGCGCAAGTTTGAAGTAACTAAGAATTATCGTTGATCAGGCTGGTGAAGTATCAGTTGTCAAAATTCCTTGGACACACACACACACACGAAATAATGGCAATTTTTTTCTTGACCGTTTTCTTGAGAGCTGCATACCAGCCTTATTATATTAAAACTCAACGGATTACAAAAAATTCTTAAAATCTGAATAAAAAGTTGAAAACTTGAGTGAACATTTTTTGAATTTTTCAGTGTTCTGCACAAAGTTTAGAAACTATATTTTAATGATTTTTGTTGTAGTATGAGACACTTTTTTTTGACGTTAAATACGTCTTACGTTTCGATATGGGGGTTATGCTCAAATGTTGTAACCAGTTCGGTTTCTGTCGTAGAAACAACGGTAAATATTGGCTTATTTTGGGGTCAATTTTGAGCCTTTAAAGTGCTCTAGAAACTTATGATTTGCAGTTATGTATAACTTTTATTTTCGTGGTAAAAGTACTTTGGAGCGGTAGAAATGTTATCGTGTACATTGTTATCGTGTACAAATTTTATATAAATTCAATAAATATCGAGGCAAAAAAACGTTGAAAAAATTAGAAAACTTTATTACCGAAATTCTCGAAAACCGCTCACATGATTTTGTTTTTGTTTTCCTTAGTAAAAAATTTAAGTTTTTCTCTTTCGTTTGGTATATGGGAAGTATTGTTTGATATCTTCTAAATATGTTTATTTTATTCAAATATATTGGCATAAATGATCTTCCATACAAAGACACTTCGTCATCATTGTGCAAACACGTGCATGCCCTGGAAGTGAGAGGAGGAGACAAAAAGTATGTGCGTGTAGGTGTTTCGGCTTTTGAGTAACAGATGGCGCAATACTTATAACCTAATCGCGGCGTATGTATGTTAATTCATACATACATATGTACATATGTTGATTGCAGTTAATGTGGATATGTGTTTCTTTTAGTAATCTATGTATGTATGTACATATGAATACATATTTAATACGCGAAAAATTTTCGTCACATTAGATCTGTTCCGTTCGTTAGGTATCAAATTAAACGGCTTGGCCTGTGGATGTGCAATAACTTCTTATTTTTTCAAAAAGAGTTGCCACCTGATAACAAATTCAATTCAAATTATTTTTAAGTTAAATCAATAATTACACTATGAATATCGATCGTAATAGTTTTGAAAAAAACTGTATTTCATAATTATATCTAAGAGGGTTGCCACCTGTTTCAAAAAGAAAGTTCGGTTTAAATAAAGGCAGAAAATTGAAATGTATATCCTGATATGAATGTCAGACGAAAGAGGTTGTGGTTTGAAAATATTTTGCAGAGGGTTGCCACCTTGTTACAAAGTTAAATTCAATATAAGCAATAGGCTAAATAAATTAATCCAATATGGATATAAATTAAAAACTGCTTTGAAGAAACTTTATTTCCAAACTGCATGACTGCATGACATGGCGTGTTGCCACTTGATTTTATAATTAAATTCAAATTGAAATAAGAGTATTAGATAATTTAAATATGTATCACAATACTAGTGTCAGACGAAAAAGGTTTGACGAGGTTTTGGTTTAAAAATAATTTGAACAGGATTGCCATCTGGTTGAAAAGTCTAATTAAATTGAATTATATGAAATATAAATACAATAGATTTTTTCGGGAGCTTTCGGTATTTTCTTGTAAAATTTTAGGCTAAACAGTAGATTTTATTATTTAATTTACTCTTCTTTAAAAATAAATACTAGAAGTACCGATTATTTTCTTATAAAAAAGTATCATTCATTATTATTTTTTTTTAATTATTAGTTTTTGCTTTCCAAAATTAATTAGCTGATGCCACTGTATATTGATTTTAAAATTTCATTGTCGAATCTGTGACAAGATCTTAAGAGTATATATTAAAAGTACTGAGCTAACCAGTTTCGTTAATTGGAACAAAAGTAACCACATTACTTGCCAATACCCATGATCAGACATAAGTTAAATGGCCTTAGTAAACGCGTCCTGCTTACTCGTAATAAGTAAGTAAACAAACACAAAATTATTTTAAATATATATTTTTTTCTCTTTTTATTCTCTCTCTTGCCTTTGTCCTCTAATTTCCTAGATTAGAAACAAACAACTGATCACACTGGCCGCACATGTTTTTCTGACAAGTACAACAACAAATCAAAATAGCTCTCACTTGTAACGGGTGATTTTTTTGAGGTTAGGATTTTCATGCATTAGTATTTGACAGATCACGTGGGATTTCAGACATGGTGTCAAAGAGAAAGATGCTCAGTATGCTTTGACATTTCATCATGAATAGACTTACTAACGAGCAACGCTTGCAAATCATTGAATTTTATTACCAAAATCAGTGTTCGGTTCGAAATGTGTTTCGCGCGTCCGATTTATGGTCTACATAATCGACCAAGTGAGCAAACAATTAATGCGATTGTGACCAAGTTTCGCACTCAGTTTACTTTATTGGACATTAAACCAACCACACGAATGCGTACAGTGCGTACAGAAGAGAATATTGCGTCTGTTTCTGAGAGTGTTGCTGAAGACCGTGAAATGTCGATTCGTCGCCGTTCGCAGCAATTGGGTTTGTGTTATTCGACCACATGGAAGATTTTACGCAAAGATCTTGGTGTAAAACCGTATAAAATACAGCTCGTGCAAGAACTGAAGCCGAACGATCTGCCACAACGTCGAATTTTCAGTGAATGGGCCCTAGAAAAGTTGGCAGAAAATCCGCTTTTTTATCGACAAATTTTGTTCAGCGATGAGGCTCATTTCTGGTTGAATGGCTTCGTAAATAAGCAAAATTGCCGCATTTGGAGTGAAGAGCAACCAGAAGCCGTTCAAGAACTGCCCATGCATCCCGAAAAATGCACTGTTTGGTGTGGTTTGTACGCTGGTGGAATCATTGGACCGTATTTTTTCAAAGATGCTGTTGGACGCAACGTTACGGTGAATGGCGATCGCTATCGTTCGATGCTAACAAACTTTTTGTTGCCAAAAATGGAAGAACTGAACTTGGTTGACATGTGGTTTCAACAAGATGGCGCTACATGCCACACAGCTCGCGATTCTATGGCCATTTTGAGGGAAAACTTCGGAGAACAATTCATCTCAAGAAATGGACCGGTAAGTTGGCCACCAAGATCATGCGATTTGACGCCTTTAGACTATTTTTTGTGGGGCTACGTCAAGTCTAAAGTCTACAGAAATAAGCCAGCAACTATTCCAGCTTTGGAAGACAACATTTCCGAAGAAATTCGGGCTATTCCGGCCGAAATGCTCGAAAAAGTTGCCCAAAATTGGACTTTCCGAATGGACCACCTAAGACGCAGCCGCGGTCAACATTTAAATGAAATTATCTTCAAAAAGTAAATGTCATGGACCAATCTAACGTTTCAAATAAAGAACCGATGAGATTTTGCAAATTTTATGCGTTTTTTTTTAAAAAAAAGGTATCAAGCTCTTAAAAAATCACCCGTTATCAGGACTACAAGGCGATGGCAAATATAACAAGATTTTTAGAAAACCGTTGGGACTCGTAAAATAATAACAAATACATAAAATTGTTTAGATTGCAGTCAAATTTTTAGCAACTTAAGCCACTGGGGCAACGGGCAAATGAGCGCCCTGAGGTTGGAAACCGTTCTCATCGGCGATGTAGTTGACGGTGTAGGTTACGCCATCATCACCAACGAAACTGTATGAGCCACGGACAGCAATGGCCTCGGTTTCGCTTCCTACGTCGTTGAGGACAGCATCAGCATTTTCCTTGATACCGTTGCTGGTCTCATAACTGCAAAGAAAAATAAGCAAAATATTAGTTTCGTTGTAATTCTAAATTTTTTGGTAAAGAAAGGTGCCTCTTTACAAAGGCCTGATATGGGAACACTTACGCATAATTGAATCCATCGGCTTTCACGTCGGAGTCGAAGCGCACGACTTGCGCATCAGAATCGGCTGGGGCGGCAAAGGCGACAGCGAAGAGAGCAACGAATACAATGACGAATTTCATTTTGTTTGATTTTGAGTTTGACGCGTTTATGGCGAAGGATAATGCTTTTTGAGACTAGCAAATTGCGAATGATGA